ACAACCGTAGGTGGCATATGTTGATGCTTTTTTCGCTTTCATTTAGCGCAATTGTGTGCACGTTACATGTTCTAAAACAACTTCTTAATCTGCGATGAAACGAATGAATACAAGAAAGGGGTCAGTACCTAATTTAGACGCTGCGTAATGGGTAGCTTCTTACGTCGACGACGCGCCATTTGTTGACGTTCCCAATATTCATAATAGCGTTCTTGTTTCAACCATTCTTGATATTTATACCACCATTCCTCCCATTTTATGTAGTCCTGCGAAAATTATTATATTTCATTACAAAATATTATTATTTTTTTTATTCAAATATTGTTTTACCTTCAAATCTAGATCGCGCAGATAGCCACGACTCTTGTAGTATTCGTAACGTACGCGTACATCATCCCACGACAGCATACCCGACGGTGCTGTGGTCGCAAGTTCTTCCGGAAAATGACCAGCCGGAGCTGGTGAATACGAGTAACGACGCGGTGGCGAYTCGAGACCCTCTTCGATCATAACTTTCAAAGCTCCACCGGTAGAGTCTTTGGTTATACGCATATTTTCCATATTGCTGCGATCAATACTCCATTGTGCCATTTTGCCAAAGCGTTCGGATAGTGTCAAACCGGTGGCGGCAATAAATGTCGGCAATGAGCTATCACTATCCGAGCCACCAGAATCTTCGGATTCTGACGATGAGTGCTTCTTACGTTTTTCACCTTCAATTTTAATGCGTGTACGTATCTGTGGAATGCACATAATTTGTTTATAAAATAAATCTTTAGGCCAACAATCAAAARAAACACTTACTTCTCTGTCCTTCTTCTTTTTCTTGGAGACAGCAACTGTTGCTGATGAAGAAGTTGTAGCTGGCTCTGGTGGCTCTGGCGGACGATTCTTTACGCGTAGATCTTCATTCGGTGAATGCCGACCCGTACGGACAAGTTTCAGRCGACCATCTGTTGGCACGCGATCCATGCTGCGGTCATGACTATACCGACGAACCTTGTCATCGCGATATTTATCAACGGAACGCGCATTTGGTTGTGGTGGTGGTGACGACGGACGCGCGTGCATACGTGACGAAGTGTGACCGTTCGGTGGTGGTTGTCCACCACGATATTGCAGCGAACGCGACGATGCTTTTGGCGGCGGAGAACGCGGACCTGGTATACGCGCACGCGGTATAGATTGAGACCTTTAAAAATAATTATTAGTTCAGAAAATAAATAAACAAATAATTGGTGGTTACATACCGTGATCTATTGTGATGTTTGGGTGAGCAAACTGAACAAGAATCATCCGAGCAGCTACTAACCGAACTATTCGAACGCGAGCGACATGAATTCTGTAATACAAATAAATATTAAAAAAAAAATTACTTGTTATGCTGTATTCAAATATATATCTCCCAAAATAAAATAATCACTTACCCGCGGTGGAGGCGACGGTGGGCGCTTTGAACGCGGCAATATTTGTCCCCTTTTATTGGGTGCAACGGGTGGCGGCGAACGCCGGCGACTGATGCTAGGTGGTGAGCGCCGCCTACCWAGTGGCGAACGCGACGGCTTGCGACGCATTGGCGGTTCGGGTGGTGAACGTGGACGATTATTGCCACCACCAGCACCGCTCAGCAAGGGCATACGACCACGACCCATATCAGAAGGCGAACGCGGCGGCACACCACCACGTGGTGGTGGCGAACGCGGACGACCGCGCATACTGTCCATAGGTGGAGACATACGACGTCCACCCATATCCATGGGTGGCGAACGGCGWCGCATATGCGGCGACATAGGTGGCGATTTACGCAAACGCGAGCGACTACGCGAACGCGGTGAACGTGAGCGACCATAACGCACGTTATTTGGTGGCGGGCCACCAATAGGTCCACCAGCAGGACCGCCTGCTGCGGAATTATAACGAAAACCACCTTCRCGTTCACTTTCACCAGAACTGCTGTCACCTTGTATATACATTTTCTTGTAGCCTGTATGACGCCAGCGATTTGGATCTTTTTCCTCCACCTCAAGCAATTTTTTGTCCCAGTAATCGTTGGTGTTAGCGCGTGCCTTTTTCATAACGTTATCGATCTCACGACGTTTGCCAGCAGGTAATGAAGGATCTGTAATTGAGGTAAACATATGAAAAAATGTTTAATGTCAGCTTCGTGATGAGTATACACAACACTGGGTGCCTTCCAAAAGCTTAAACGTTTTTCGCTGTAACTAATATTTATACCTGTTATACGTGCAACTGTCGGCTGTCTATCCATATGGAGTTTCGGATTTAATTCGCCACGTCTGCGCGACGTCGACATGGTGAAGGATGTTAAATTCAAGCGATATTACAGAGGCGGACAAGTAATAATCAATAATTGCTACGAGACAAGCGCCAATATTCGTATTTTGTATATATGCCGAGCGTCTGAGTTGTGTACTTTCGACGACGTTTCTACGTTTAATACTCGCGCGCAAACCGATGTTGGCTTATGTGCCAACTAAATTAAGCTGTAACGCTTTATGATAGAACGCGCACTTAAGCACTTACACAAAAAAGCTGCAAGAAACATTTTAATAAAACATGAGTGAACAGCACTTTAAACAAGCAATGCAAATATGTATGTATATTTGTTATAACTTTTGATTTTTTCTAAAACTGATTAGTGGGTAGAAGCAAGGTATGCAAACTTAACTTAGGAAAACAACAAAATGCAGAATAATGGATATTTTAATAATTTTCTTAACACTTTTTTAGTAACAATGTGATTTAAATATTTTCTTTATTAGAAAACAGAGGTTAAAATGGGCATATCAAATCAAATGCAGCTGCTAGACAGCAGTTGCTGTGCGAACGATAAACGCCGATATGTACGAGTACCGCATTTTATATCGATCATGTAACGAATACCACACGAACACCGGAACCGCATACATAAGAGGCACAATAATAAAAATCCACCGGCTACGCACGCTTAAAATGTCTGTGTTAATTGCATTTTCCCGTCACGTACGCAATTTGACTGCAAGAAAAAATATTGTCCGTTTGCTTGCAGCCCACTAACTTTATTACGTATATATCGCGTCTATAACACCGAAACCGTCTATAATACAGGAACTGCCACCTCACTAAAGCTCGGTTGCTCGGGTCATCCATGACACCACGAACATGTTGACTACACCATGCACATTCCCTTTTTCATAGTGAACACTTCTATATACACATTTATGTATTTTATATAAAACAAATTTGGAATTTTCTTTTCACAAAACTATCTTAATAAAATACTCCAATTATTAACGCACGTATATCCATCGTATAAATATTTGTGTAAAATTTTGTACACAATTAGCATATGCAACTTGGACGGCAACGACTGCACCATATTGACCCGACGAACGCAACCGAGGCATACATTTTTTTGCTTTGTAAGGCAACACATATTTTCTACACATTTCAACTGCTTTTAAGATTTAAGTATTTATATACAAATAAATTACGTACGTTTTATATTCACGACGATTTCACAATATTTCAAAACGATACGGCTTTTCCTAAATGAATATCACAAATACGATATTGAACGGCGAAGGGAGCACACAAAATATCGCTAATACTGCTCGACGTCCATTTTAGAAATGAAAATTATCAAGCGAAGACATTCCAACAAAAATATCGAYACTTTTGTGTCRATGTCATCGATTTYAATCGAGATGTTTGTGCACGCAACAGGGTGACAAATAAAAATCAAACCGAAATTAAATTTAAAAAATTARTTTAAAACATTTATTGAACTTTTAACAAACATGACAATSAATATGCAGTTTCTAGTTAAAATAGTTGAGGTAAGAGAAAAAGTTTAATAAATGTTTTAATAAAAAGTATGAATTATAAAATAATTCAAAATTTTTTTTGTAACCAAAAAATATATATGACAAATTTAAATAAAGAAATATTTATACAAAAAAAATATTTACAAAAAACAAGTGTTTATTCATGGCAGCAAACGAATTCGTCGCCACAATCGTAGCAATATGGCAACACCAAATTTCTTTTACAAAACCGAAATATCTGTTTTCCATCAAAAATCTTTTAAATATCTCACTAATTCGTGCATAATTTGTGAAATTTATAACAATTATCAAAAAACGAATAGACACTGCTGTAGAGCAGAGAAACTGTCGAAAATCGGAAGAGTGGACCCACTTCTGCAACCTGGGACACTGCCAACAAACAAAGGGGAGTCCTAACTCTCCATAGTATTGAAGACACTTGAGGCCTTGTTACTATCAACTTTTGGCGGTTAGGGAATATTGTTTCATTTACTGTATACCTATCCATAATTGATTCTAACCGTTCTTAGAACTCTAATAAATTCCTGTTGCATGCAATCAACACCCACAAACGGAGGCATCCAAGCTTCTAAAAGGCTTTGAAACCACTGAAGTACACTGTATTRGACATTAGACTCTAGTTGAAGAGATGAAGAAGTTTTTGATCTGCCACAACCTAAGAATTTATTGGAATGCTTTAGAAGGAATTTTTTCGGATGCTCTCTATAGTCCAGATTCTTCACACTTCAACGATTAAAACCTGACACCTAGAATTTGACAATGACAAATGTCATTTATAAAATGGAAAATTTCACTTTCAAAGGTATTTTCTTTCGCCCTCTTAGGAAATAAGGCGTCAAGAGAGCTATGTGAAATTCAAATTGTAACTTTTTAAGCAAGCCAGTTTTTGAACTTACTTTCATTAACGGAACCATGGAAAGATAGCAYAAATTCAAATATAAAATCAATAAAACTTTAACGAACCATGAAATGATAGCATATGCCAGTTCTACAAGTATTTTCTTTGYGGTCTGCAGCCAGAAGTAAAAGAAGAAGAGACAACAAATACAAAGCAACAAAATAACATGCAACTTTCTCGACAATACCGTAATGTGGGGAATGTGGAAAACGGTGGAACAAAGCTATTCCCATATTYATAGCGGCGTTGCCAACTGCCTTTGGATTCCACAACTAGGGGAAATGCTTACAATCCAACGGGGAAGCGATTAGTATATTATAGGTAAGGGGTAGTGCGCACAAGAACATCCATAAATGTTTATTATGGATAACAATGTGTTCCAAAAGGACATGTTGCTAGTGGAAAGCAAGAGCTATAACTAATTCCTTAACATATCGTGTATGAAAATTCATTTAGTTCCACAGGTTTGCATTATGGAACACAAAAGAGTAAAATACGACCTTGCCGACGTGCGTGTGCGTGGAATGAGCATAAAGGATTTGCCAATCTACTAATTTTATGCTTTTTATGACTTTTCAACAAAATGCCAGCCAAATGGCCACGGCTCCATTGGCATATCTTTGACCGTTTCCACCAATTTTCAATGACCTGGTGCGGCGTTGAATGCGCTCCTTACGCGTTGCTGGTTGATTGCTGTGAACTATTGATTTCACACACTCCCAGTGACAATAATTTGGAAGCGTTAAATCGCATGTTTTTGCTGTCCATTCGACTGGGCATGTTCTCGAAATAAATGGRTTGCAAACTTTGCACGAAATGYGTCCRTGTTTAAACATGAAACRTGAGGCGGYGCACCGTCTTKTTGGAAATATAGATAATCCACGACGATTTCATCAAATTCCGTGGAAAAAAATTRGTGTTATAAACCTCATCGAAGAGAGAACCAAACGTGCAGAACGCTATTGAACCGATTGATCGAATTGGCCTCAACTCTGGTCCGAATGACAGCGATATTTCCATCACTATCGACTCATCGTGGAGATTGTAATCATTATAATGAAATTTTGATTTGAGGCTAGAAACCACAATTTCCACCAAACTATCAATTTTTGGATATGAAATGGCGTTTCTTGAACCACACAACGATTTAATTCACTCCAATAGTGACAATTTTGCTTGTTGACAAAGCCATTAAGCCAGAWGTGAGCCTCATCWGAGAAGATGGTTTTTCGTTGCAAATCGTCGTTGGTTTCCAACATTTCCAGCGCCCAATCGGCAAAGCTAYAGCGCTTCAAATGTGTCTGTCGGCTTCAGCTTTTGTGCCAACACAATCTTATGCGGATGAAACCGTTTCTATTCTAACCTTCATGTATTTCAATTCAAGCAGTTCCTAAAAATTATTTTTCGTTCAGCTTTGGAGAAGGTAGGATATACATATATACATATATATATATATTTTTTTGTTTTTTTTTAATCCGATTCAGTCTCCGTGGCATACTTAGTGTCTTATTTTGAAGGCGTTTCTATTTTAATCTTCATTGAAATTCTTGAAGCAGTCCATAAAAAGCATTTTTTCCGTTCATTTTTGCGGAAATATATTTTTTAATTTATCCTTGGCGATATTTTAAAAAACAATAATTATTTGCTGATGATTTCATGAACCTTTGGTTGCCTGGTCATACATTTGTAATTAAAACTTGACGTTGCATATAAAAAAAAAAAAAAAATCCATTTGAACTTGCTATCGAACGAGCTTTCTATCAACAAATGTTGATGAATTCCTTGCTTATCTGCTTATTCCTTGCGCAACATTTTGCAACATTCGAAATTTATGTATCGTAATTTGCAACATTTTATAGCGAATTGAGTAATAATTCTTTGGTCTCAAAATGTACTGATTAACAGYTATGCGCTGTGGATTGTATAAAATTCTCAAACTTCTCAGTATTCTCTTGAAAAATTGCGCGAGAGCGTTTGCTGCACTCAAATTTACTGTCATGGGAGTAGTGCAACATTTTATGTGCTCTGGCTGGACAACATCGCTGCGGCTCCAGTGCTTGCGTTTCTACGTTCACCGTTTAAGGTTRCTGTATTCGGCGGCGTCTGCCATGTGTAGCATTTAATTAGCAAGTGTCTTTGCCCATCGACATCGGTTTCAAAACCGTCATCAGCAATGTCAGTAAACCTCTTTATGGACTCTTCTTCCCATTTTTTATTTTTTATTTTTTATTTTCTTTGCGTTACTGTTTCTTTCACTTTTTCTTTTAAATAAAATTACATATTTTTTCTACTTTATTGGCTAAAATTACTGTAATTACTGTTTTCTGTATCGAATTTGTTTGTAAACTTCTATTGTTGTCAGCGGGAGGACCGTGCAGTTGCGTTTGTTGATGTCTAACGAGTTTTGTCGATTTATAAGGCCACTTATGATCACTAAAAGAAGRAGAAAAGAATAAAAAGTTATTTGGCTGATCCAAAAATGGTTTCATATTTTATTAAATACAATTTTAATATTAAGGAAGGTAAGGCAGCGCTAGGTTGGGATATAGCCGTACACTTCATACTGTCGCAATTTGCAGGACTCAAAGGTGGGAATATAGTTTCAGATGCTGGTAAAATTGTATAAAACAATGGATTATATGGGATTGCCATCATATTTGGTTCATTGTTAATTACTGTGACAGCTATTACATATTTTCAGGCGCTAGTTGAACTATAGCAACTTAAATGAAATGAGTGCTCATAACCTATACAAAGGTTACYTCTTAAAATATACTTTAATAAAGAAAGAAATAAGTTAAGTAAATTTAATACATGAAGACACCATCTTACTTAGTTTACACCTAAGGTCGCTAAGCTTAAAAGGCATGGCGTACTCTCGGTATGATTCTAGGACACGCCCATTATAAGCAAATAACATTTTAACTTCATCGGTCTCGTGGTAAAATAGTAGAACAAGTTTTTGTTACTTCAAAGTTTTTAATTTTTTTTTCTCACATTTTTCGCAATACTCTCAATAATGACCATGACACTTCTCCCCCCAGTCCTGATTCCGTTGTAGTGCATGCGTGCATTAGGGACACATACTAAGAAATAATAAAATACAAGAAAAACGAACAAAAATGGTTTGGTCGTAAAGGGTGCGACAAAGATTTGATGGCAGCACATTGAGGTTATAACTGAACAARCTTAGAAGTAGTGAACACTTATGACAGCCACAAGCTGCGGTAGCAGTCGTAAACGCAGTACCACTGGAAATATAACTCTAAAGTGTATGAGAAATCGCAGGAAAATGGGGTAAGGAGAGGGAGAATTCGGGAGAATTTGGAACACTGACTTACTGATATCGAATGTATATACAAAACTCGGAAAGTGCTTTGAAAATATTTAAGCACTTCTAAAAATGTTGACAAGCGCGCTGGAACCCAAGTAGGTGAGTTAAGGGACGGCGCAATAAATGCCCAAGTGCATTGGTTGACAGTAATTCGCGTAGAAAGCGAGGTTAGAGGGAAGTGAAAGTGAAAAATTCCAAACTCTAACAGTATATACACTTGGCAGGAAAAGTTTGCGTACAAGGAATAAAAGTCGACTAAATATATTTAAAATATATTATTATTTTCGCCTTCGGCGTTGTTCTTAAAATTTATTAGAAAGTTGGATATAATTTTTAAGACTGTTGTTTTTAAAAGTTTTGGCTTTGAATCAATAAGCTTTGAGGTTTCTGTCGAAGAGATTTTTGCCCATTCTTCGTGCAGTGCTTTGGCGGATTTTCGTTCCAGTGAATCCCATAACTGTGGTGGCGTTCGAAGCTGCTTGTGAAAGTTGTAGAGTAACCAAAGCTTAATTATGTCTGCGGTATGCTTTAGGTCGTTGTGTTATTGGAAATAGTAGTCACTACCT